GGAGCAAGCATCCTGGGAACTTTTTCCTGAGTCTTATCTTGCTTTAAAAAATGACTTCCACTGAATTTTGAAAACCAGCACTCGATTTGAAAAAAAAAAAAAACAAAAAACAAAGGTTTCTTTTTGATGTTTTCTTTGGTTTTTATGTATCTACATTCTATTCACAAAGTGCAGCACATAATATTCATATTTTCTCTTAGGCATGTTAATAAATAGTTCATGAGTGAATCATGCCCTATTTCTCTAGATTTTAGTTTTCAATTTCCACGAAAAGCCGCCCTCACTATATGCTTTCACAATAGCCAGCTATTTGACAAACATTGTCAAATGCTGTTCTGCATTGTGAAGAGAAAAGCCTCTTGCTTTGAGTATCCCCGCAGCTGTTCAGTATTCCACTGTTACTTCTTGTACAGGGTAACAATGTATTTTTTTTACAGCTAACAGAAAGCTATGGCTGCACTATTTCTATGAAAATGATAACAAACAAAAACACCTCTGAGGTTTTTCTTTAATTGTCTATCCATGGTGGACACTCTGTTGTCTTGCTCTCTTTCAATACTTGAAAAGTAAAATGGATGCATTGGAAGGAAGAGGAAGAAGATGATATGGAGGTGAAACAAAAAGCACACAAGTGCACAGAGGAAAGAGGCTAGAGGTGCCTTCTACTCCCCTATGTATGACTGTAAACTATGGGTCATGTAAGGCCAGGGATTATCTGAGATATAATCTTAGCCCAGTTTCTGACTTCCTGACATGTGGTCATTTTGTTTCTGCTGTGGCTCTTAGTGGAGTATTATTTTCAACCCAGACAGTGTGGAAACTTTTTTTTATCTTTTTAAAAATCCTTTATTAATTACATTTTATTCACTTTGTATCCCCCCTGTGGTTCCCTCCCTTCTCCCATCTCAATCCCTCCCTCCCTCCACCCTCTGCATGCATGCCCCTCCCCAAGTCCACTGATAGGGGAGGTCTTCTTTTCCTTCCTTCTGATCCTAGTCAATTAGGTCTCATCAGGAGTGGCTGCATTGTCTTCTTCTGTGGCCTGGTAATGCTGCTTCCCCCTCAGGGGGAGGTAATTAAAGAGCAGGCCAATCAGTTCATGTCAGAGACAGTCCCTGTTCCTATTACAATGGAACCCACTTGGATACTGAACTGCCATGGGCACATCTGTGCAGGGGTCTTAGGTTATCTCCATGCATAGTCCTTGGTTGGAGTACCAGTCTCAGGAAAGACCCCTGTGGAAACTTTTAATCTCAGTTAGGATTACTATTGCTATGATAAAACACCATGACCGAAAGCAAACTGAGAAGGAAATGGTTTACTTGGCTTACACTTCCACAACACTGTTCATAATTAGAGACAGTCAGGACAGGATCTCAAGCAGGGCAGGAAGCTGGAGGCAGGAGCTGAGGCAGAGGCCATGGAAGGGTGCTGCTTACTGGTTTGCTCCTCATGGCTTGCTCAGCGTGCTTTCTTATAGAACACAGAGACACCATCCCTGAGATGGTACCATACACAATGGGTTGGCCCTTCTCATCAATCACTAATTAAGAAAATGTCCTACAGATCTGCCTAAAGCCCAATTTTATGGAGACTTTTTTTTTAATTGAGGTTCCCTTCTCTCAGATGACTTTGCTTGTGTCAAGTTGTCATAAAACTCCCCAGTTTCTATGGAGAATCAATGAAACATATGAGAAACCAGCCACAATAAGGGGCATTGCACAGCAACACACTCTGGCAGAATATTGTGATGTGTGAGAACTTTATAAGCCTGTCTCTTTTGGCCTGCAGTATTCATTTTTTAGTAAAGGTTCTACCTGTTCAGAGATAAGGAAAAAAAAAAAAACACCCTTAGGATTTACTAAATTACATTTTCTGTGTGCCTTAAGATTCTTGTATTTCAATTTCTTTAGGTAAGGCTTGTACTTTCTGCTTGGTATGGGTTTTTTATTCCCTGGTTCTGTCTATCAGTACACTTGTGACATTCCTCTTACTTTTCTGGTCCCTAAGGGTTTACTCCTCCTACCTGTCTCCAATCATGGTATTCTCTTCCCCAAGTAATGTTTTGTTTGTGACTAATTTATCCTAACTCATCGGAAATTGTTACTTCACAAAGATTTTCTCCCTACACCTAAATGCAGGATTTCATTATCTCTTCTCATCTAGAGTAAGAATTTATGCTTTAGATCTATCTAACAAAAAATATACAAACACAAAACAAAGCCTATAACTGTGCCAAGTCCATTGATATGCAAAATTCCCCTGGATTCTGCTCCTTCAATTATCCTTCAATAGTTGAAAAATAAAGTGAATAAAAAAAGAAACACCATGAAGATGATGGGGGTGATGACAAAAATCAAAAGGGCACAGAGAAAAGATACTAGAAGTGCCTTTAAATGACTGTACACTGTAGGCTATGTAAGGCCAGAGAGCATCTGAGGCACATAATTTCGTTCATCCCCAAGTCTATTTTATGCCCCATACACTATTCTAGATCTTCCACGGACTGCAGATGTGTTAGGATAATGTCTGTGGAATTTCAGAGCTTAGAGGCAAGACAAATACATAGACTCCAAATTGAAAACATTGCAACTGAAGAGCTATCACTGTGCAAGGGGCAGACTGGAGGGATTTGCTGAGTGGGAACTTGTTTCAGTGGGATCCATTTTTGCTGTTGACATTTCATTTCACTGAAGCGATTCAATGGGCCACTCAAAATAAAAGAGAGGGACTCACCCTTCCCTCACTTTCTTTGATGAGAAGTGAATTATAATTTAATTGAGCATCTCTTCACAGGGGAATTCTGTAATGCTTAAACATTTTACCTGCTGTCTATTAAACTCGCAGAATAACACAATTTTAATGCCAAAACATCTTGCACCCAAATGCTAAGGTTTGTGTATTGTCTGAACACACATTCCCATTCATCTTCTATCTTGACTGTCTCTGTCATCTACACTCAGTAGAAATGTAGTAAGGATTGTAATCTTAGACCTAAGACTTCTATTTTTAAAAACTTTTTAAAAGTTGCTATATTTTTTTCATTTTTTTAACTTTTATTAATTACACTTTATTCATTTTGTATCCCCCCCATATGCCCCCCTCCTTCCCTCTCGGTCCCACCCTCCCCCCTTTCTGCATGCATGCCCCTCCCCAAGTCCACTGATAGGGGAGGTCCTCCTCTCCTTCTTTCTGATCTTAGTCTATCAGTTCTTATCAGAAGTGGCTGCATTGTCAGGGTTCTAGGTTATCTCCACAGATAGTCCTTGGTTGGAGTATGAGTCTCTGGGAAGTTCCCTGTGTTCAAATTATCTTGTTCTGTTGCTCTCCTTGTGGAGTTCCTGTCCTCTCCAGCTCTTACTATTTCCCACTTCTTACATAAAATTCCATTCACTCTACCCGACAGTTGGCGTTTTAATTTTATTTGTATATGTTTTAATTGGTTTAACATATCAAATATTCTCTAAATGTTAAATTCATATTCTATGGAAACATTTAAGGGGCTACTTGTGCTCTTCAAACTGAGTCTTTAGATCATGGTGCTCCTCTTGTGCGTAGGAAAGATCTTCACTCAAACTAAACTCACTTCAAGTGTTCACAGCCACATGTACACTAGACACAGCAATTCTAAAATGTCCTCAGAGCTTCTCTAGCTATCTTGGGGCTTACAAGTATATTGGACAAATAAAATATCAGTCAAAAATAATCTAATTATTGTATTCTAATATTTGAGCTTCTGAAGACAGTGTATTTCCTAGCTGATTGGTGTTTTTATCCAAGTAGAAAGTAACTTGATCAAAAAGAAGACAGGGAATGTGGAAATTATCACACTGAAAATTAAAAGAACACAGATTTACAGAAAGGAAAAATAATTTGCGGTCCTTATTTTATAATCTGCTATTTAGTTCACCATGAATTTATGTCATTTTAATTATTAAAGCGAATACCATGAGTTGTATAGTAACCTGCTTTCTTCCCCCCATTCTGTGCAAACATACAAAATATAGCATTTGTACATAAAGTATAACAAAATGCCTGCTTAGATTTCATTTCATGACTCCTAGCTGTAAAGTAATCTTGAGCTTCCTTAAACAAGCCCCCAACTCCCATTTTTCATGTCTTAGTGACAGAATTGTTACCAAAAGCTATTGGTGAACTCAGTGTCACAAAAGATGTATCCAAGTTTGGGAATAATATCTGCTGGGTCCATGATGTGCTTATGAGCTCTGCATGTCTGTATTGTATTTTCCTAACCTTGGACTCTCCTCAGTCTCACACTGAAAGTGTTCATTTTTCCATCAGCTCACACCACAGAGCACTGTTTAGCTCCAATGGAAACTGCATTTGACAGAGTCCTTTGACTTCTTTTAAAGAAGGGTCCTGGTTCATAAATCTTCCTACATGCTCTCAGCATAGACAATATATTTTTAAAAATCTCTTCAATCCCATAGTTTTAGACCATTGGGAAGTGTCAGACACAATTGTGGCAACAGATAAGAGTCTAACTCTTGTCTCCCACTGATGCAGTTTTACTTAGCCATTCCCCTTTATTCAATCACCCCAAAGGAGTTTCAAGTTTAAGAGCACTAAAGTTGGAAGCAAACGCCCTACTTGAGAGCTCATAGAACAGCTTCCAGGAATCTGCTATAGGAAAGCCATTGTCCATGACACAAATATGCAAAGACATTTAATTTGCATCAATGGCTCACAAGAAGAGTCTTTTTGCTCCCATCTTCACAAATTAGGAAACCAAGGCACAGAAATGCTAAGTGGCTTGCCCTACCACCTATAGCTAGTGAGTAGATGGGGCCCAGGTTCCTGAGAATGAGTTTCTGGGCTACTCAGCTCACAACACTCACTGAGCATGAGCATAAGAATATCCACACCTTTCCTGTCTCCAGTTACCACACCCTTCAAAGATGAACAAAGTAACGAGGACTGCATAACTGCATGGAACACATAAGAAATATTTTATTAACTTCCAAATGATGAAAGGGCAAAGTTAGAAAATTCAATAGTAATCCATGATTCTCCTCAGAGAGCCCACCCTGGCATTCATGGCGCCCCAGTCCTGGTAGCGCCTGTACTCTCCGGGCCTCAGCAGGTACTGCCGCCCCCGGTAGTTGGGCATCTCATAGAGGACCCAGTAGCCCTCCATCACGTGGAAGGAGAGGAAGTCGCTGAAGTGGAAGCGATCCTGGAGGTTGGAGCAGTCGTCTGTGATCTCCACCATCTGGCCTCTGAAGTCCTCTCGCTCATAGATCTTGATCCTGTGAGAGCTGGACTGTGCGTCCACAACAGTGGACAAGGGGACATCAGAAAACCTGACCTGAGCTTGGCAATCCAGAACCCTGGGGTGTCAAGCTGCCCTGGGGGATGGGCATCCCTTATCTTTCCTATGCCAAAGGTGACTAAATAAACAAAATAAAATAAAATAATGGTCAACGCCAGGTAAGTCACAGGAAACTGTGGAAGAGCTCAATTCACACAAACCCTCTATTTATCCCTTCTTTTTGCTTCAGGCCCTGTTTTCAAACCTGGAGATCAAGACCATCTTAAAAATCTAGGTTTAAAGAGGCTGTGGTGGTGCATGCCTGTAGCCTCAGCCCTTAGGAGATAGAGGCAGGAGGATTTCAATTTTGAGAGTGGAGGGCTAGACTAGGGAAGTTTAGGGCTTGCCTTGGGTGCATCCCAAAAAACCAGGTAAAGGACAGCACCAGAATGAACTAAGTAAATGAACTAAAGAACGGAGTTCAACTCCCAGCTCTAACGTATCCTGGCAAAGCACATTTATAAAACCCAAAGCAAATGTCAAAGATTCTCAAGAGGCCTGTGCAGATCAAGACTGTGAAACGTTTACAGCAATGGAAATTCAGGCTGCCTGTCCTTACTTCCCTGAAGGAGGTCCAGACCTCCTTCCATTTCTGCCCCTTCCCAGCAGGCTGTCCCAGGGTCTTCTTCCTCTGTAGGGAAGATTCCCTTAAGCAACATAACTTGAGGAACGGGAAGCTGTTTGCTAAAGTTCCATCCTCCAAACATTCAAAGTATTACAGCTTCCAAAAGGGCTTGTGTATGCAGCCAGATCAGATCTTTACAAAGCCTGGCGCGCAGGGCCTCACCAAAAGAACACCCAGCCATTTCTGGTAAAAGGGAAAACTGAAGAGCAATTCTCAGAGTTACGGGTCCTTCTAAGGAGCTTGCGGCATTTTCCTGAATCCCAGAGCACCCCGACAGGGACGGTGGAAGCCACCCCCTCCCTCTGCTCAACGTGTAACTGTATCAGGGACAAGGTGAGGATGAAGGTCAGAGGGACGTAGGAAGGGACTCACGTGGGGGATGAGGCGGCAGGAGCGGATGGAGTCGCTGAAGCCCATCCACTGCTGGTAGTCAGGGTAGTCCCCGCGACGCAGGAAGTACTGGCAGCCCGCGAAGTTGGGCTGCTCATAGAGCATCCAGCAGCCGCTGTCCACGCGGATGGAGTTGCAGCGGCTCAAGTAGGGCTGCAGGTTGGGGTGGTCACTGCTGCACTCGTAGTGGCGGCCCTGGAAGCCGCGGTCCTCGTAGAAGGTGATCTGCAAGGCAAGGCCGGGCTCAGAGGCCTGGTGTGGCCTGGAGTTGAGGGCGGCTCCCTCCCCAGGCCCGGGGCCCGCTGGGCTCACCTTCCCCATGGCTGGTGGTGGCTGGCGGGTTGGATGGGATGATTCTGTTGGATGTGTGGGGCTGGGAGCAGGGTCTATATAGCAGGAGGTCTGCTGCGTTGGCAGGAACAGCACAAAAGGGGCCCCCCGGTGCGACAAGGCACTTTCTCTCTCTCCTTTCTATATAATGACTGTGGGGGAGGCGTGGGTTATTGTACGGTTTTCTCTTAGACTCTCCAGAGCTTTCGAATGGATGACGAATCATTGACCTGGTTGCTGCTTGATGCTGCTCTGGCCTTTAAAGGACGCTGATTTGAGGAACTGAAATTGAGTAAAGATGCTTAACTAGTTAACCATTGTAATTAGTCAGTTTGTAATCCCCAGACCAGGAGAATTTGAATAACAATTCATGATAATGATGGGATCTGCATCCCTAGGAGCTTGAAGCTTTTAAGCTGGAGAACTGCTGAAAGTCCAGGGCGTCCAGATGGGGACGAGTGTACCTTCTCCACCTGGTGTTCCAAGTGGGATCTGGATTGGATAACTAATTGGGGGATGTGACAGAAGGCAAGTCACCAGAAAGGTATGATGATTTAACAAAACCCGGGGCTCTGGAACTTGGGTCCTGGAACTTGGACCCTCCCAGGGATTTCTCGATGCACATGAACAACACAGATCATTTGAAATCTCAGTTTTGCAGAATCTCTGTTGTTGTTTGGTTTGTTTTTCTGTTTTGGGGGAGCAAGGCCTGCTTGCTCACTGGTTTAGGCTCTCACTCCTAGGCTGGTCTTTTCTTCTCCCCGGATCCATGATCACTCCCCACCATCCCTAGCTCCAACCACACTAGAATGCTATTGTAGCATTCCAGGCTGAAAACACTGTGGGGACCTTTGGGATCACTGTGGGGTGGTTAGCAGTCTCTGGCCTCCACCTCTCACACAGACAGTGTATCCCCTTCCTCGCAGCCGTGAGCGCCCTCAGGGTTGAGGCACTGCTGAGTGCACCTAGAAAGCGATGTAGAAAAGTCACCCGAGACCCAAACCACTGTTCTAGAAGTTCTCGCTGTGTTCAGTCCGCACTTACTGTTCCCTTCACATTTCTGTCCTCAGTTCTCCATTGCATTTAAAGAGTGGGTTTGAGAAATTGAAGAAACGCCTCAGAAGTAACCAATGCCGCTCAGGGTGTCACTGGAGGAAGCAAAAGTTCCCCTCAATGAAACAGAGCATCTCCTGTGTTTTCTAAACAGTCTTACTTGAAAATAATGCTTTAGTTACTGTAATTACATCTTAAAAGGAAATACATCAAAACCCTTGCTAGTTGTGCCACTCCTAATACTCTTCATAATACAAATAGATTATCTGTTAGTTACAGTATGTGAAAAAAAATTACCTTATGTGTATAAAAGCTTCCTGAGGCAGGCAGCAATTTAGTTTTAAAAGTAAAGTCTATAGAGAAAGAAGAGTAGTAGGTCTAATAACCTTTGAGATGACAAAATGTCTGAAAAAACAAATAGGTCATGACAGTGTAACAAGGACAATAAGAATAAGGGAGATACTGCCAGAAAGGGTCTGGGCAGCTAGGGATCAGGGAAGAGTCCCAGGCACAGCTCTAGACTTCTGGCAAAGAGATATGCCCAAGGAATGCCTTTCAGACTCAGGGTCTGTTCTAGAACCTGGTTTTAGTTCAGATACCTTTGTTAAAGGTTTCTAAATTGTTCTTTCTAGCCATTATTTGCATAGGAATTAAGGGCAAGCTGTGTTGCTTATTTTAGAAATCCCGATGAGAGCAGGTAGTTATGGTGCTTTTCAAACTTCAACTGCACTGTCAATCTATCCACGGAGCTTTGTGCTAAGCAGAATTATTTTGAAATAATTTTTTTCCAAGAAATGGAAAGCAAATAGTGTCTCTCTACACACTCCATGTACTGGGGGTTGAATGCCAGGGTTCCTTCCATATTAAGCTGTCATTCCTCTAAGACACAGCCACAGTCCTTTACAGTTAGAAATTATGAAGAGAGACCCTTCCTTTCCTGTATGACTAAAAGAAGATAAATAACGTATGTGACATTCAGCAAAAATCCTAGCAGAAACACAATATGTTATTATCCTTGCTTCTCCCTGAGATTTCTAAAGAACTTAAGCCCTTCATCCTCTGGTCCATCGTGGATTTTTTTTTTCCGGGTGGGGGCAGTGGGAGTGAGGTCAGCCCTTTAGATGACCACACAGGATGAAATGGATGGGTGAATCATTGTCAGATAAAGGATATCTTTCTAAGTATGTTCTTGGAAAGTAAATATAGAAAATGTAAGGAACAAGGATTCCCAAATACTTTCTCCTGAAGGCTTGCAATAAGTTTTCCTAAAGTGATTTGGCAAAATATACTGTTTCCAGTTGATTGTTTTGTTATTTGAACCTTTGGAAATCTCTATGAAAGGTAGCTATTCTCCTTCAGAGATACACATAATGAATCTCCCAAAATAGTCTAAGGTATTCCAAGAGTAAAATACTTAAGATTATACATTATATTTCTATTCTAAATTCCATATTGTACAACAGAATCTTGTAATTAGTTTTGTATTATTAAGAGGCAGCAATAGTTCCTTAACACCAATCACAGTAAAGTACCAAGACTCTTAAGGGAGACTTGGAAACAAATGCAAAGTATTATTAGCAGCAGAATTAATTATCTAAAGAAGAAAAGGCATCTCTATCAATCACAAATGTCTTCTGGTAAAACCCTATGATCTGATTTTTTAATTCAGCATAACAGCTGTTTTCTTTCAATTAATTTATAGTATTTATGTCTATGATAGAAAATAGTGTGTAAGATAATTCATTCCAAAATTAGTTTGACAAGGCAGCTGTGAACGGCAGACTATGAAACCCATATACAGAACATTTCTTCATCAGTTGTTTGCTAAAAATAGATGTGAAAGTAAAGGAATTTCCAACTTTAAAGCAACAGGAAAAGTGAAAAAGGATGCATATTACATGATCCAAATGTGAGGGTATCTAAATCTAGATTTCATCTGGAATAATACAAACACACACTTTCTGACAAATGAACCTATAAAATGTGACAGTAAAATGAATATTTACTTAAATCTAAGATTATTATTTTTCACAAAAATTGTTAAACTTTTCAAACATCTTACATATCTACTACTAAAACAATTCAATGCAACCAAGATAAAAAAATATTTAAAAAATAACTCTGGGAATAAGGTTTGGTTATTTTTATTTGTTACAGGGAAAACATTAGTCATTCTATTCTCTCCTTACCAAGTAGTTGACTACGGTATTGACTAAAGTAAATCAATCAGGGCCTAAAGAAATAAAATATAAGCAAACAAATACTTCACAGAAGTCACGACTCCTGTCCTGCTCTCCATTTCTTCCTGCTGTTCTCATTCTAGTGTTAAGCTTCATCTCTCATCCTTTTGGCAAAATATACTAAGAAAATCTAAGATTATTATGGCCTGTAGGAAGTTTTTGTAAAAGCCTCTATAAATCAATACTAAGTTAAATCAAACAAACAAACAAACAACAACAGCAAAAAGAAAAACTCTTAGCTTTTTTCTAAAAAAGAAAATAAAGAACACTGAAAAGAGTTGGTCATATCTTTAAAACAGTGGATTTTCACTTACTATGGGAATATCAGAATAAAATACCATCTAGTACAATGAAATATATAATATAATAAATATATTATATAATAAATATTTAATATAATTAATAAATATTATACTATACTAATTAATATTATAATATATAATATAATAAATATTTAAAAGCTCACTGAAGTGGTGTCATAGTGTTTGTAATTTATTTTGAGACATTTAGACTCTCATGGGCTTTAATAAGATATATGCTTGGTAGTTAATCTTCACTGTCAACTTGAGGAAATTTGGATTTGCCTAGGAGATACACTTCAAAGTGAATCTGTGAGATTGTTTCTACAGAAATCTAAGGTGGGGAGATGTGCTCCAGAATATAAGTAGCAACATTCCACAGGGTGGGATCTCCAACTGAATAAAAATGGAGAGCTCCAGAAATTCCTGTTCGCTGGTTTCTTTTTTAAGTTTTAATTTTTATTTTAATTACAGTTTATTCACCCCAGCTGTAGCCCCTTCCCTCATTCCCTCCAAATCCTACTCTCCCTCCCTCATCTCCTCCCTTGCCCCTCTCCAAGTCCACTGATAGGGGAGGTCCTCTTCCCCTTCCATCCGACCCTAGCCTATCAGCTCTCATCAGGACTGGCTACATTGTCTTCTTCTGTGGCCAAGTAAGGCAGCTCCCCCCTTAGGGGGAGGTGATCAAAGAGCCAGCCCCTGAGTTCATGTTTTCTGCCTCTTAATGGTGGAGATAGGAGGAGGTGAGAGGTCAAGACTGAGGGACCCTTCTGCTGTTACTTCTTCCCTGCCCCATTCTTGCCCTAAAATCAAGAACTAGATTAAGGCTTCCCTCCCTCTAGTACTCTACCAGTGTTTGGTCATAGCAATAAGAAAAGTAAACAGTTTACCTAAACGAATTCAATACAGATACTCAAGCAACCTTATTGTTTCCTGTCCCCTCAGATAAGGGATTCCAGATGTCTTACAGATCAATTTTAACCCTTAAAATTCTACACACAGGATTGTTTTGGAGATTCTGGGTTTTTTGTTTCTCCATATGAAGCTGAGAATCTTTTTTTCAAAGTCTGTAAAGAATTGAGTTGGTATTTTGATGGGAATTGCATTGAATCTATAGATTGCTTTTGGCAGGATGGCCATTTTCACAATGTTAATCCTACCAATCCATGAGCACGGGAGATCTTTCCATCTTCTGAGATCTTCTTCAATTTCTTTCTTCAGAGACTTGAAGTTTTTCTCAAACAGGTCTTTCACTTGCTTGGTTAGTGTCACACCAAGGTACTTTATGTGGTTAGTGGCTATTGTGAAGGCTGTTGTTTCCCTAATTTCTTTCTTGGCCCTTTTGACTTTGGTATACAGGAGGGCTTCTGATTTTTTTGAGTTGATTTTGTATCCTGCCACTTTGCTGAAGGTGTTTATCAGCTGGAG